CTTGTCTTGTGGGGTAATCTGGGGATGGGGTCGGGTTTTCCGGGGACACTAGGATTCCCCGACCTCACTCGGTCGTCGGGGTAATTTGTCACGCTCGTGGTATCACAGACCGAATTAAACACGCAGACTTTTCTTGTTTGAGCTTGTATTAAGCCTAAGGTGACCTCTAGCAAGCAATTGTGTGCCCTGGGTAAACCTGCAGCGCCATCAGAATCTTTGCTCGGAGTCAAGATGGAGAATTCACAGGAGACCCGCAATGCACCCAAGTTCGTCACGCCAAAGCAAATCTTACGGATTGCAGGAGATGTGACAAGACAGGATGAGGTATCGTCCTTTACATTTAGGAATGATGACTCTGAGGACAAGGCTGAAGTCATCTTTGACTATGGCCGTTGTGAAGGCGGCTTTCCCATCTTTACTATTGAGTCTGCATCAGCGCCCGAAGGACAGAAACACGTCGCGTTCCAGGTCACCTACAGTGAGACTATAGAGGGAATTGATAACGAGAATGGTATAGTGACTTCCGTTAAGTTTTCACTAGTGTGCCAATGCTGACTATCACAGGCGATGGCCCATTCTTCTTATTCTCCAACGCGATGGACAGCTACCGAGTCTGCCAGCACCACGCCACAGTCACCAAAGATACTCAAACTGTGAAGCCTCGATTCACCCAGGCATCCCAGAGGTATCAAAAAATAACTCTACTCGACTCAAACGCGAGCATCACGTTCTCCAAAGTTGGCTTCCAAGCCGTGCGCCCTGATGCTCCAGTAAAAGCCAACTTCCACTGCTCCGATGAGACCATCAATCGTATTTGGAGTGACGGTGTTCGGACTGTTGACCTATGCACCGTTGCTCGTGAAGAGACTGTTCCAGCGTGGGATGTTACTGCTGAGGGTACTCGTGTTTACGGAAGCCACTGGGCTCCTTGTCGACAGGGAACGAGATGGAAAGACTACAAGGTCACGTTCCAGACAAAGGTCGAGGAGAATGGTGCTAGTTGGTCTGTTCGTATGGTCACCAACGGTCTGATATTCTGCTTGGATACAAGGAGCAGAACGTTGACTGCTGTCGAGGGTTTGTCGAATAAATCATCTATCCTGCCTTCAATTGAAAGAGGGTCATGGCAGCTTCCTGAGAGCATCGACCTTTCTGGCTGGTTGAACATCGAGACGTTTGCTGTGGAAGATCGCGTTGCAGTCACTATTGAAGGACATGAAATTGCTACTATCAGGGATATCTACGTGAAGGCGATGCTTGGAAACGGGCTTGTCAACACCGGTTCTGTGGCGTTTGGTGGACCACCTGGCTGGATTTCACTCTACCGAGATCTATCAGTCGCTGATCACGATGGACATATTCTCTATGAGAACTCACTGTTGGAACCTGATGCTAGTCGCACGTTTGATGACTTCCAGGTTGGAACTAATAAACTCGCCTGTATCATCGACGGTGCCAAGCGAGACAGAGCTTCCTTTGGTGGTGATGCCTTCGTAACTGGTCGGTCAATTGCATACTCCACTGCTGACTTTGAGGCCTGGAAAGGAACCATTCAGCTTCTTCTTAGTCATCAGACTAAGGAAGGGTATATTGGCAACCTGTGTCCCATCCAGGCTCCGGAGCACGATAGCGCAGATGACCCGCCGCACTACGGCCACTACAGTTTGACATATGCACTGCTCCTGGTCGTCTCAATCAACGACTATTGGCTGCACTCAGGCGATTTGTCTGTCGTGGAGAAGTCATACTGTCAACTTGAACGACAGATGGAGTTTACCAAAGGGTTCTTGAACTCTGATGGGTTGGTGCAAGCACCGCCTTATCTCTCGAGTATGTTTCCCCATCAGATTGCTTCTTCGAGTACTAATTGTGAACAGTGACGTGGTTTCCTATGGGCGGGCCAGTTTTCGGTGTTTCAACAGGTTTAAACCTTGCATATTTGGATGCCCTCAACGCCATGGCATCAATGTCTGGGGCCAGTGAAACTGCATCTCAGTATTCCTCCCAGGCAGTCGATCTGAAGGAGGCCTTGATCCGTGCGTTCTGGAACGATGAGCGAGGCACTATGCGGCCTGCTCTATCTCTAGACCTCGGCGGTGTATTCCAAGACGTCAACGCGTACGCCGCGACTCTAGGTGTATCACCAGACCATTCAAAATTGGCAGAGGGCATATTCCCAGCCAGCGAATCTTTACCCTCCGCATTCTGGGGTCTAGACAAATGGGACAAGTTCGGACTAACCAGTCCATATGCATCTGGCTTTGCACTCGAAGCTCTCCTTGTGAAGAAGGAGGGCCTCAAGGCCAGAGAGCTATTATCTCAGATATGGGGCGTCATGGCGGACCAAGATAATCCGAACTACTCTGGTGCTCACTGGGAGGCCATGAGAACTAACGGTTCACCTTTTAATCATGATGTATCGCTGGCTCATGGATGGTCTTCATGGCCGGTCTTTCTGCTACCAAGATATCTTGCTGGAGTCTATCCTCTTGAGGCGGGCTGGACGAGGATTGGTGTCGAGCCTGTTCTTGCAGATTTGGAAGAGGTGGCTTACTCGCTCGAGACCCCTCAAGGGTCCTTTTCAGTGACAGTACGTGTAGACGAGGAGCAGGGACAAGGTAGCATTAGGCTATCGGTACCGCATGGTAGTACTGCCGTAGTCAAGGCTCCGAAGGGCTGGAGTTTGGAGAATGATGGTGTTATTCAGGGCTACGGAAGAGAGGTATTTGTAAAGCTGTCGAATTGCGCTTCATAGTAGTGTCACAGAAAATATGATGTATATTTCTACCGGCTTTTCATGTTGATCCCACCTAATTTGCCAACCGCTTTAGCATCTTGGCCGACTCGTTCTGTGTGAGGCGCGCGATGCTATCCATCTTGTGTGGTTACACACATTTCATTCGAATCTAGGGTAGCAATTCAGCAAACCCGTATTATCCTCGACTCTCGTATAGGCATTAGTTATTCGAGTAAGTAGGTATGAAAGTAAGAAATACAGTTATCCTACTGAGATGTTATGTTCGTAGAACGGCGCAGCCTCGCTACGCGAATCCAGCTAGGTCTCGCCAGGGGCATCATGCCCAAAAGCCTTACATAACATCGCCATACATTTAGTCCTATACGAGAAGTATACTGGTATAAGGTTAGCGCAGGTAATATATCCCGTGCTTTGATTTTGCTTAAAAGTGTCCCACAGAAACAGTATATATTATATCTTTACAAGTACATATATTAGTGCTGCGTTAAAAATCATAGTTCATGGAACGAACCATAACAATTTTGTTTTTTGCAATATATAAATGCTACAGAACTGGGAGGGCATCCGCATATCGCACAGCGCATCTTGATCGACCCATCCGTCACCAACCCATCAAACTCGCATTAGCCGCAGCTTCACGCTCCTCTATCAAATAATTTCATCCGACATTCTCAAGACCCATCGATGAGCGAATTATCGCTATTCAGTGATAACGATATTTCCAAAGCCCCCTTAACCGAACCATCGTCTTCCTCCTAGACAGAGAGGCCACTGACAAGGTTCTGAGGAGGATGGAGAGCAACTGTTGAGACATTGTGGTATAATGTCTAAATAGTGATTTTGAAGTGTTATTTGCAGTTGAGACCTGTGTCTGAAAGCTTCTCTTTCCCACCAAACTTAGAGGAGGAGGGACATTTTTATAAGGGGTCATATAACCTGCACTGGTTGCTGTTTGATACAAAAGTAACTCAGAGACCAATGCTGTACAACATATCCGATTGCTAGTCGTCGCTGCAAATTGCCGCATATTTGTGTGGTGTTATCTCTTTGTAAGGCTTTTTGGGCATATACGATTTTCAGCCTTGAACATCAATAAGGAACACCTTTGTGATCTTGTGTAGTGCTCCATGATCCGGGCTTTGGTAGTTCTCTGAAGGTCGTCGGATATAAGGTCTTTTACTACGGGTTTGAACTGACGCGGTCATATTTGAAGCCGCGCCAGAGCCTCATTTCGAAGATTGAGATCCCTATTTCCCTGGAAATTGAGCTGCTATGGCATGGCCCTTGCTGGTTTCGACCCTCTTTTGGTTGATGTTCTGGCTTCGTAGTTTCCGATTTTCCTCCTGGGTGTTGTTAGTCTGTGTTTCTGATTAAGTGGCTACTGAGAAACAGTACTTTCTGAGGCTTGATATCAGTGATTGAAGACCAGACCCCTGATCTTGTCAGTTCTCGAGGGAGTATCAAAGACGGCTTTCATGTTATCTTGATCCATTTGAACTGCGATATGACACTGAATTGCTCCTTACTTAGCAGGATGTTGTACTAACCTCTCGTTTATCGAAACACGCAGATCAGCAGGAGGAAGAGTCGAGGCATGTTGCTACTTGTTTGTCATGAATCCATGCAGATCAGGCATCTTTCATTGACTTACCCTCGTCCACTAACTTCTGCAACATATAATCCTAGATTTCAGGTTTACTACGGTTAAGCCACGGATATGGTGTAGGTGGGAGCACGAGATGCCCAAACTCCTCATAGACCAGAATCGTCAAGGTTCTCGTTCGCCCCCATCTTCTGTCGAGCTGGCGTCAACTTCGTCATTTAAGAGGGTCAAATATTCAATTTCGTAAGGCGGCACCTCTTAATTAATTCGATTGCTGAATTCCCTATCTTATCTTGTCTTATCTTGCGAAAAATCGCTTCTAAAATTAGATAGGAAAGCTATGCTACATTTAGCTAAGTCCTACATAGCAATCCACCTATTAACTTGTCTTAGATATGGAAATACGTGTTTCAGTAGCTCACAATAATCGAGTTAAAAATTGAAAAGTCAACTGTGTCAAGACCGATAAGTATGAATTCATGGTGACACTATTGAGGTAGAGGACAAGGATGTTTTGCTCTTTCTAATGGATCAACCTTAATCCGCCCTAACAAGTCAGCATTCTCGAAAAAATTCCCCATAATCTCCCGAGCCGGCTTCGTTCCTACTACCAAGACTATTTGAAAGATCAACGCCATAATGGAGCCGTACTCCACATTCACTGTCGGTCTCGCCTTGTTCGCATCCGTCGGGCTCTTCTACCTCATCAGCTTTGCTCAAGATACCCCCACAGCCCAAAATAGCAAAGCACGCAAACCCCCAATCCTTCCGTTCTCGGTACCTCTTGTTGGGCATTTGTTCCAGTTCCTATGGAATACTCAAAAGCTCTTGAGCAAAACTTCGTATGTTTCTCCGTCTTCTTCTTTTTAGAAACAGTCTTACAGCAGTAGAATCCACTATGGACCGGATACACCTGTTCAGATAAAGCTTCTGAATCGTCGAATAACCATGTTAAATGGCGCTGAAAACATCACCGCGCTGTTCAAAAGCTCTCGCAGCGTAAACAGTGAACGTTGGCTCATTCAAGTCCTGGTCAACGCTTTTGGCGTTCGTAAGGTGGACGTGCCTTTCTATGTTGCTGATAATACAGGAATCGCCCAGCAGCCGGCGGCTAACAGCCATAACATTCCGTACGAGCACCGGATCTTTCATCTTGTTTACCAAACTGTACATGATGGACTTAGCGGAGAGAGATTGGACGAGATGCAGCGCCAACTCGTGCTCAACCTATCAACCCAGATTGCGAATGCGGAAATCGGCGGGACATGGACCCATGTCGATAATCTCTACGAGGATCTAATCAGAAGCTTCTGCTTCAAAGCTTCCACGACTTCTCTTTGTGGACCGCGAATCTTTGAGGCTGCCCCAGATCTAGAGTCGGACTTTTGGAGTTTCGACAGTCACTTACCCAATCTCTTCAAAGAAATGCCGCAGTGGTTGGTTCCGGCGTCCTTCAAAGCTAGAGACAAGATGAAAGAGAACATTAGGAAATGGCATGAGCTCGCTCATGAAGCCTACGACATCACCCAGAGCGAAGAAGATACACGGACTTGGGAAGAGAACTTTGGGTCAAAGCTCATGAGAAGCCGACAAGCGTTCTTTAGGAAAATGCCTCTGAGCAAGGATACTATTGCGGCTGATGACTTGGGTTTACTTTGGGCGTGAGTATTATTATTTTTCTTGCGTTTCATAAGGATATGGTCTAACTTGATGGCGTTAACAGTGCCACTGCAAATGCAGTCCCCGCCATAGGCTGGATGATTTTGGAAACCGTTCAACGCCCTGGACTTCTTGAGCTGGTCCGAGCCGAAATCGCCCCTTTCATCAGCTTCGCGTCAAACACAACTACACCGGATATTGATATTGATGAACTCTGTCAGCAACCTTTGGTTCAATCTATCTACGCCGAGGTTCTGCGCGTTCACAATGGCACGGTACTCGCTCGAGTTCCTCAGGTCTCGGATTATTCCATTGGAGGTTGGTCGTTTCCAAAGGATCAGCACATCATGATCTCGACGTATGACACGGCTCGTAAGCTATCTGTCTGGAATCAAGGCACGTCTGACGATCCTCATCCTGTGAATGAGTTTTGGCCAGAAAGATTCATTGTTGACCCCAATAACCCTGCAAGCGGACCTGCCGTCCATCAGGAATCCAAGCAGCAAGGCACTGGTGAGAAGTACTTCACACTTGATGGTACAGTTGGATCCTGGATTCCCTATGGTGGGGGATCTCGAATGTGCCCAGGTCGTCACTTTGCCAAGAAGGAACTGATCGTCAGCATGGCTATGTTCCTAACGAGCTTTGACATTGAGCTTGAAGCTCTGGATGGATGGATTCAGGACGATCCTAAATACTTCATGTTTGGCGTCATGCACCCACAAGGGCCTATTCGTGCTAGGGTGAGGAGAAGGATCTTTGATGCTTGATGAAATGGTAGCTATACAAGCGCCAAGACGGTTGTCACTATTGGCGTTAGCTGCACCGTTTTATATCAGATAACGAGCTAATTGGAACCTGGCGTCGCACGTGTAGGCATTACAATCATTTCCAATAACGCGATGCATTATGTACCTGGATACAGCTTTAGTACAGAATTTCCCTCTTGAACGCCTTCTATATACTTTTGCCCAATTCTGAGGCGCTCACGCCGTATCCCTGAGCACCAAAATCAAAGCTCCTATTGCCCAATATTTCAGCCTCATTCTCCGGTTTGTACATATAGCTTGACCACGGTGCTTTGAACTTCAAATGGTGCCCGACTCTTTTCTCAAGGCTATTTTTAAGGACCGGCCGCCTAGCTCTTGCGGCGCAACTTGGTCCCTGTACTTCTTAGACTAGATGCAATAAAGAATATTTGTTAGTGAAAGTAAAGTTTTAACGTTCCTGGTCTGTGTAGACCTTTATCGTGAACATAGGCATGTGCTGGTTCTCTAATCGCTTGGCTGGTGGTTCACATCCTCTCTCTATCTCATAGATCAAATCTCTGTATGACAGCATTCCGCGCTTTGGACCAAGTCCTATTTTCTCTTGTCTATCTAAAGCGATTTTGCTGAGTCGAAAGCTCCTAGCCCATTGTTAGTGAAAGAAGGCTCCGTTTCAGTGAGATATCCCTGGTTATAGCTGCCGTCACTTGAGCGGAAACTGTTTCTGTAAAGAATGGCTGGGTAACACCAGTAGGGGTAGCATCCAGTCGTGGTTCGGTTGTTCGGTGCCAAAGCTGACGGATGGTAAGCCATCAGCTGTGGGGTCTATCAACTCAAAATAATACTCTTATCAAAGTCAGTCCGGGCAGTATACCAGCTACCCACCAGAAGTGCCCAAGGTAAGCTTTATAAGCCTATCTGATGATGATTACGTCTGGCGCATAAAGCCGACTCGGTGTTCACTGTCTCCAGACCTCGGTACACATCCAAGGGCATCATTTGGACAGTCATCATTCATAAACAATTCTCCTGAAGCCATGAGTATCCGCTAATGCGCCTTCGCAAGCGCACGAATTACGTGGTGAGGACAACAAGCTCTCGATATCCGAATCCACATGATTGAAAATAATGCTGTGGATCAGCGGCAGTCCGGAAAACCCGGGCGCCACAACGCTGCTGTGGGACACGCTTGGACATGGGCGCTAGTCTACCTGCCATGCGGTACCTTTATATACATATTTCCAGCACCAGATTACACAAGGGCACATACAGTAGACATAGATCACGTTGGTCTTGGAAAAAATGGATATTCACGCTACACTCAAGACCTTGTCCCTAGAAGAAAAGGTCAAGCTACTGTCCGGTACGCCAGACGACTTTGTCTCGATTGCAGGCATCCCTGAAAAGGGCATTGCACCGCTCAAGGTGAGGTTGAGAAACTTCACTCCGCCGTTGCGAATACTAACATCCTCGCTAGACAGCTGATTCAATCAGCGGGATACGTCCCAGTGAATTCAACAGTACACTCACAACAGCATGCTTTCCCAACACAGCCTGCATAGCCTCAACATGGAATACCGAGCTTCTGGAGAAGATGGGCGCTGAGCTTACTCGCCAGGCAAAGATCAAGCATGCGCAGATGATCCTTGGGCCCACTATCAACATCCAGAGAGATCCTCGAGCTGGACGTAACTTTGAGTGCTTCAGTGAAGATCCGCTACTCTCGGGATATATGGCTGCGGCTATTGTGAATGGTATCCAGAGTAAAGGCTATGGAGCTTGTGCGAAGCATTTCGTCTGCAATGACTCTGAGACTCAAAGGCGGTATTACAATGTCGATGAGTCGCCGAGTGGACGGGCATTGAGGGAGGTTTATCTCGCTGCTTGGTCATTTCTCTTGAAGAAGTCAAATCCTACTGGAATCATGACAGCGTGAGTATCCCACATCATGTTCTGATCTTTACTAATATCTCGGGAAGATACAACAAGGTCAATGGAGCGTTTTGCTGCGACAGCGAAACTCTTATTGAGGAAATTCTTCGAAAGGAATGGGGCTACAAAGGCATCGTCATGTCAGACTGGTTCGGCACTCGCTCTACCGTAGCTTCCATGAAGGCTGGCGTCGACGTTGAGATGCCCGTCCCTGTCTTTAGAGGCAACAGACTCATCAAGGCTGTGAACTCTGGTGAAGTCAGCGAAGAGGTGATCAACGCTAGCGTGACACGGCTCCTCGACCTACGAAACCGTACGCAAGCGGCTCAGAGCGAAGGACCAGAGAAATCAGACATCATCCAAGAGACCAATGACGTCGCTCGTCAACTCGCTCAAGAAGGCATCGTTCTTCTGAAGAATGAGAACCAAACTCTTCCGCTGCCAGCATCCCGTGGTCTGAGAATCGGGGTCGTTGGTGAGTACGCCAAGAAGGCTGTTTTCACCGGCGGTGGCAGTGCATCATGCAATCCTCAATATCGCCAGGTTCCGCTCGACCTTTTACGGGAAGCACTGCCAGATGACCATACAGTCTCATATTCAAGTGGTGTTCGCATGCGCCGTATCATTCCGACCGTACCTGTTGACATCCTCACGACGGACGAGGGCAAGAAGGGCGTTGAGGTGGCTTATTACAATGCTGGTGAAGATGATCCCGTCCTTACCGAGACTTTGGAAGATGTTGCTATTAATCTGATGGCCCAGGGAAAGCTGGGGCTGAAGACACATGGCTCTCATGTGAAGATGACCACCAACCTGGTTCCTACGACTACTGGAACTCACACACTCGCGCTTCGTCACTCAGGGTCGTTTAATGTCGAGGTTGACGGTGTCTCTGTGCTCAAGGGTGATGCACCTGATATTACAACCGAGCAGTTTCTCTTCAACTTAATCAAGCTTGAGTCGCGAGTCGAGCTGCAGATGGAAGCAGGAAAGTCATACCACGTCTCTGTCACCATGCAATCGAGAGAGCCTGTTGTTGGCGAACCTACTCCGTATGGTCTAACCCTGGCCTTTGAAGAGGAATACTCCGAAGAAAAAGCTATATCCGAAGCAGTCGAAGTCGCAAAGTCATCTGATATCACAATCATCTACGCCGGCCGCAGCGAACAGTACGAGTCTGAGGGGTTTGATCTAGAGGAGATCGCTCTTCCTGCCAACCAAGTGGCCATGATCAAGGCTGTCGCCGCTGCTTCCAAGAAAACAGCTGTTCTTCTTCACTGCGGTAACCCCATTGATGTCAGTAGCTTCGTTGAGGATGTCGATGCTATCGTGAACATGCATTTCCCAGGTCAAGAGGGACCTCAGGCTATGGTTGATATGTTGACTGGAAAGGTGAACCCTAGTGGAAGGTTGACGGCGACTTGGTTCAAGACTCTGGAAGACTGGCCCAGTTTTGGGAACTTCCCTGCTGAGAAGGATGAGGCAGGTGACTTTACCATCAAGTATGCTGAGGGCTTAGAGATCGGATACCGGTCGAAAGTACCGGAGAGCCGAGTTCAGTTTCCCTTTGGCCATGGGCTGTCTTACACTTCATTCTCGTATGACAGTCTCCAAGCCAAACTGGACGCCTCTTCAACCCCTTCAACTCTCACAGTCAGCGTAAATGTATCGAACACTGGCAGCGTTGCTGGCAAAGAAGTGGTGCAAGTCTACACTAGCGCCCCTAAGAACGGAGCTCATTGGAGGCCAACTCGGGAGCTCAAGGGATTCATCAAGGTTCAACTCTCGCCAGGTGAGGCTAAAGAAGTGTCTGTGCAGATTGAGGTCGACACTTTCAACAGCCATTGGAGTGAGGATTTGCATGCTTGGGTAGAGGATAAGGGCGAGTATGGCGTGGAAGTTGGAGATCAACGTGTCACTGTTGTTATTTAGACGAGATATTAGAGAATAGATTTCCGTTGATTAAACCAACCCTTCACTATTTTATGTCGAAGCTTTTACAAACCCGCCAATGTTTCAACTCTTAAGTTACTGTAGGCAGTTATAACGCTAATATATACAGGCAATATGGATAGCATGCTTCCCCGCAGCCGAGTCGAGATGAGAGCAATGCTCAGCTCCTCGTATCAAAATCGAAACACAACTCAGGCAAATTACAAACTGATAAGAGGAAATAGATTATGCAATGCAATGTATTGGTTATGATAATTATTTAGAGGTCTACAACATCAACCCCAAGGTCTTTACATACGTCCAGTAGTTTGGACTCCTCCCAGTCTCCTACCTCGTCAGGTAGCACGACACCCGTTGCCGGAGATCCAGCATTCTGAACCAGCTCTTCAATTCCTCTTCCATTGGCAAAAGTCCAGACACGGACATATTTACTGCCAAAGTCCAGAGTGAAAGTCTCTCCTGCAGCAATGACCACCGTCTGACCCTCTCTGACTTCACTCCAAGAACTACTATCCACAGACCTGATCTTCACTCTGAGTAGACCTTCTTGAACAATGAAGCAATGATCGATAGAAGTAAAGGTAAGCCACTTGCTCAAAGGCGACTTTTTGTAGACATTCGATGACTCAATACTCGACATTGAGAACTTGCCACCGGATTGGGATGCGAGAATGAAAGGTCTCGACATGACACCTCCCAGAAGCCATCGCGGTCCAGTATTGGCGCGCAAGAAGTAAGCCTCGCCAGGGCCAGCGAGTTGGTTCTCGGAGTCAAGCCACTCGCCAACCTCGGGCGGTTGGTAGTCACGCTTGAAGTGAACGTCGAAACGGTCCTTGGCCGCCATCATTTTCTGCATGAGCATCGACTTGATGTCGCGATCGTCAGTCTCCGGCACAAGAATTCCATTATATGTCTCGCCGACATATCTAAAGAAGTCAACCCAGTCGCCTGGTGCTACCAGACCCACGGTCTCAGTGTGAGGTCCGAGCAGGAGAGGGTTGTGGATGACGTGCTATCCTCGTGTTAGTCGGCAGATCAAATTGTTAGACAAGATTTGGGGCTTACAGGAGGGATATAAGCAAAGTCACCGGGACCCATGATTCGACACTTATCACCAC